CGGCAAATAAGGCCATTAAGATATACTAAATTTTCTAAGACCTTCTACTGTGAGTTGCCTTAAAACACCGAGGCATATCAATTTACTTTTCTGCATTGTTAAGCCTCGCGCACGTGCTCCCTGCCTTTAGGAAGTTCTTCTTGCACAATCTTGTAAACCTAACCCTTTCTTAGGTAGTCAGCTATTATTGACTCCTAACCACTAACCCCTAGACTCTTGACCTCCTTTATTACATTATTCTTAAGCGTGATAAGTAACCCTTAGCAAGTCTGTTGATATGACCGTCATTTCTTACAGGTCGCTACTGATTTTGATCATCCGAGAGTGAACAGTAAAAACTAAACTTCTACTTCAGTATTCCCATCAGCGGCATCAACGCAATCGGTGGATTCTCCTTCACTCTCAAGTGACAGCTTTACTTATTTGTTTTTCACTGCTCAGCAATTTTAATGATTCCCCACTCAGAGAAACGAATTATGCTTCCTAGGTTGAATCAACTTCTTATTTTCTCCCATTTGATTCTCTGGTGTTCTCTTCTGTCCAGTAGCTTTCGGTTTGGCCACCAATGCAGCAAGGCATGAGGGTCTTCCACTCAGGCACTTTTGTCTCACTTAGTGATGTGGTTATACTTCTTATGCAGATATTTCTTCCTTAAGTCAATTTGCGAATCAACAGTCATCAAAAAGGAACAAAACTCCTTAATTTTCACTTTTTGAATTTGTTTAACGTGTTGTCTGACACTGGAATCACTTCGCCTATGAACAAATAACAAGTAGGCCTGACCGAATTTGCAAAGGATGTCAAATGATATATGTCAGATTCTTTCAAAAGAATGACGTACCCACGATATTTCTTTGCATCTTGACTGTCAAGTTTTGTTCCATATAAAATTGACCCTTTCCAAATTGTGAAAGTAAAAATGACTTCACCTGTACGAAAAACACTTAATTAGCTTGATTCCTTAGCTTGTTTTTTCAATAATCGTAGGAATTAAATTGATAGTTTAATTATATGTTCTAGGATGATAATCGATACTAAACTTAATTAAATAAAACTACTATCTACTGCGCATATTTGAATACACTTCCTGTAAGGCAATTTTTTCACCCTTCTGTAGCCACAAGAAATCAATAGTTGGCTCGAAGAATGTCTTCCGGTGTAAATTAATAGAACCTCCTGTTTCTAAACGTTATTTCTAACAATGTTTACATTCCCTAATCTAAAACAAAACAATCTATATATCTGACTAGATGTAAGTTTTTATTTGCCCTGTCTCCTCTGATACTACAACTACACTGCTATCGGTTACACAATGAATTGAGCTGATACTGCTCTCTTTGGCAAAAGTCTAACACTTGATTACTGGTTATGCCTACGTCAGTAGGAATTACCTATTTGTAGTAGAAAGTAGATAAAAAGACGAAGATTTAAGAAGTTTTTACTAACTTTTATTCAAACAACA